TGAATTGTTAAAAAATTATGTTGAGGGGGGAAATGATGCATGAATACATTTAGTAAAAGATGTTAATCTTTTTTTTTTTGCGTCACTTTTGTGAAACAAAAAAAAGGGAATAAACCTCAGATGGTACCAGTAACCACCCTGTTTTGCAAAACGATTAAAGCTCCAAATTATGGTTTTAAATATGTTAAACAATTGTTGGTGCTTATGCAGATAAATACTGGCTATTTATTGAATTGACTGTTTGTCACTTTGCTTCCTTTTAATTGTGTATTTTATAGCTTGGTAATTATGAAAGACAGTTTAAGACGTTTGCACCACAGATGTGTTATCAATAATAATGATGTTTGTTTTTTTGTTTTTTTTAAAGATACAAAATAAATAATGTAAACAACAAAATTAATGAATTTAAAACTATAACATTTCAAAACAAGACAATGAAGTAAAGAAATTAGAACATGTCAAAATAATTTAGAAGTACATCATGTCACATTTCACCATGACACCTTGTTAAGTCTCACTCTATCAAACAAAGGTTGGGACAGACCTGCTGTTCAGGTCGGGACAGTCGATACAGAAAACCTCAAATGGCTTTGAACCCCTGACGCTCACCTTACCAACGTCCTGTGTTACAACACTGCATAAGAAATGATATGCAAGCTGTATATTTGAATATTCATGAAAATCAAATCCAACGGCTGTTTGTACTGTAGCATTAATTAGTTGCTCGAGGGGGAGCTAAACCCAAATAAGAAGCTGAAGTGCTGGGTGCTGAAACACGGCAATCCCAAAGAAAGAATTAAAAAGTGAGAAATATGTGATTAGTGGGTGCTACCACAGTGTGGGTCTTTAAAATAGCATGAGATATCAGCATTGAAAGTTTTTACTCATGTATTTAACAATTAACAACAAAGTTTTAAATTTAAAAAAAAAAAAAAAGGCAATAAAGCAAATGAAACCCTCTTAATTGAAATAATCTCTGATGGGTAACGCACTCTTGAACGAAACTTCTTTGTTTAGGATATGTATATATATATATATATATATATATATATATATATATATACGTGTGTGTGCCATTAGAAATGTGTGAATATTCAAGAGGCGAGATGGTTGAAGAGTCCCAATCATCTCCTACACAGTTGCCCTGGCAGTTAAAAGAGGGCCGCTGAGAGGAGTTTCACTGTGAAAGACATTAGCATGCCTTTGAAACAAGAGACCTTGAGTATGAACGAGGGCTATCCATACACACTTTGGTATGTCATTTATATGCACAAACTGAGGTGTGAGGCCAGAGGATGTTAGAGGGGCAGAAAGGATCCACTCAGTACAGGTGTAGTTTTCACTGGCCAACAATGTAATAACCATTTTTCTTTTTTTTTTTTTTACTGCCAGTGCCTCTTTACACATCAGCGAGTTCCTCTGAACTTACAGACTCCACTGAAACAATCTCCCTGCTCAAAAGAGAATATACGAGCTGTATAGATAATTGGATGCCCTGCTTGTACGTCTTTATATCTCCTCAATGATCTTGAAGGAATATGTTGCCTCATCAAAGACACGTTTCAAGCTGAGCCACAGTTAAAAAAAAAAAAAAAAAGTGTTGATTTTCAGCTGTTTGTTTGAAGACCTGAGTTACTTTTTGTGCCACTGCCACCGGTGACCTATGCGCTCAACTCTCTGAATTATGCATGGTGATTATACGACGTAGTCCTCTGAATTGTAAATTCTCACAATTATACAGCCCATTGTCTATTCATTATTTCAAAACGAATGGGAAATTATGTAAAACTATCTCTAAAGAGGAAAGCAGCGTGTAATATGACTTGCCATATTGTTCATGCAATTCAAATACTTTGCTTTTTCTGAGAGTTGAAAGTAATCAGATTTAAATGAAATCTGACTTGCATGTCATGTGGGATTATGATACATTTGGAAGATAAGCTATGATAACTACACTACGTGCCATGAGGTGAGAGCACTCAGGCAAAGAGTGTCTTCCAATTAACTTAAACCTCCCTCAAGGTTAAATATACAAGTGTTGACTGAGAGTCGAACTTATCTTCTTTTCTCGACCAGACGAGTGAAGGACCTCAACATGTCCCACAGAGTCTCTCTGCTTCTCTGTTGGACTTTTCTTTTCTGAATCTTTCACACAAGCAACACATACACAGACACTGTATACTGACCAAAGATGACAAAGTTATATACTTTTAATTTTCTATTTCGAAATAGCCAAAAATAGATTTGTTTCCACTTCGAGGCAAATGGCATACACGCCATTAGTTCCAACACACATCTGGGCCTCGATACGTCGATACGTAACCACGCTGAATAATCTAACTCTGCTAGCACTCACCCAGTCTTGCCTTAAAAGTACATTATGCATCCTATGCTGTTAGGGATATCAAGCTCTGGAACAACCCTCCTGCTGAACTTTTTGCTTCCTCTGTGACTTCCTTTGAATCGCTACTTTAACTCATTATATTTTACTTGTATTTTCTGCACCCTGTCACTTTTAAAGTCACCCTCAACTCAAAAATGTGTTTTGCTTCTTGTTTCTTCATTTGGATCTTTGACCTTCACTGCGCAGAACGATGTATGTGCAGAGTTTGACACTAGATGACACATTCATTTGCTGAGGGTGGAAACTTTCTCCGTACACACACATGATTTTGTGACATCATAAACCAGTTTAGAGGAGCCAGTTGTGGTTCAGTGTGTAGAGAATGGAGTTTTCTGTGTAGTAGGAAACATCTTGTGTCAAATAGTTAAACTTCCGGGGGAAAAAATAAATATCTGCATTTTTAGAGATTTGGGATTTTTCAATAAGGGATAGGGAGTAGATATATAATTATATAACTCAATTAAATGGAAAAATCATATCAAACACTAGTTGTTATTCAAAGCAGAACACCTACAGTCCTCAGACATTTCTGGAGGTAAATCTTCAACTTCATGATTTCTGTTATTTTATTGTTTTGATATTTTTCTTGTTGCTCCATAAACCATTGTGTAACTTTGTTTTGAAAAGCGAACTACAGATTAAGATTATTTATACTTTCTAGTATTAGAGCCAGTATTACAGTTCTCTTTTTTTAACATTTTCTTTCATGATTTTATTGTATTTCATTGTATTGCATTTCTTTTTTTGCTTTGGACAAGAGGAATGTGTTGTTGTTAATGACAGATCCCTGGCATCAGTATTATATATTGATTATTTGATTGATTGTTCTTTTCTATTCAATTCTATTGTGTTCTGCTCTGCTCTGCTCTGCTCTGCTCTACTTAATTGTGTTCTGTTCTGTTCTATTCTATTTTTTCTACTTGTTTTTCTGTTCTGTTCTGTGAGGACAGTCTTTTTAGTGCAGAGATTTTCCTTTTTATTTTTTTTAAGTGCAGTATCTTGCAGGGCCTTGCCTTGTTTGCATTATGTGCAGATTGTAAGGACCTGCAGTGAGACCGCTGCTTCCTGACCCTCCTCCTCCTCCTCCTCCTCCTCCTCCTCCTCCTGCTCTAGAAGTGTTACCCTCTCATCCTCTATCTCCCCTCATCCGCTATTCTCCTCCTCACCTCCTGCTGCACTCCATCCCTCTGCTGAGCACAGGTATTTGTTTAGGAATCTCTCGGTGGAAATTATACTCCATCTCCGGCGCTCCCTATCAACACACAATTATCATGGGCAATCATGCAGAACAGTGCTGAATTCAGCTGGGACTCCCACTCTGATGACATTACTGACTGCAAGGCCCGGGCTTCTTCTGGAGGTAGCTTGCTCCTTACTTGCATTAAACATCGCTCTCTCCCTCTTCCTCTCACTTTCTCACACACACTCTCACTTGGATACGGCAAGAGAAATGATTGAACATTTTTTTTATTTTATTAGGATTTCATTTAAACCAGGACGTCCACCAGATAAGAAGTATCTCATAGGGTAGACTTGGCTGAAAGGACTGCTCCAACCTGAAACAGGACAAATCCTGATCTTATCTTACAATTTATTAACATCTGACAACCTCTGTGGCCTCTTCTCGTGCCATGCAGTGGTTTACTCCAGTGTGGCTTCTCATATGGCTCAACTGAAGTCTGGTGTGGCCACTCTCACTTGGACAGCAATAAAAATTTGGAAGCATGAATCTCCATCATAAGAGTCTACTGTGAAGGCAAAGTCAATCTCACAAAGTAATCAATGCCTTACATTGTGTCACTCTCTCCTGCATTCGAAGGCAAACCGCAGATGCATTTCCTTATGTATGATAAGTATATTATAAAGCTCAAAAGGCACAGAGTTTATACAGACACATGAGAATTGACACAGGAGTCCATTCAGATCCTGATCAAATGCTCCATTCATGAGTGAAATTACCATCCGTCTGTCAGCCAAGGTGTGAATTCTTTCATCTACAGATCCTACCTCTGAAGTTGTGATTAAATGCATAACACCACATACACTCCACACAGACTCCAGATAAGCAAAATGGGATTTCTGCCTCTCAGGGTGAGAGCTGATGTGTAAATCAAGTGAGACAACAGTGCCATCTTGTGGTAGTTTGCTTCAATCTTTTGTATTTGTCCAGAACTCTGATCCCATTTCTTAGAAAAGTGCCCTCATACGTGCACACACACACACACACACACACAAAAAAGAGCATTTAAGGTGTAAAAGAATAAATTTACTCCATGTGTCTGTTAGTTGTAATGAAGATGGTACTTTGACCAAAAATGTTTTGTCTGTGAAATTTGCCTGCTGATTTTAGCTCCATACATCCACCACTATCTGTCAAAAACCCTGTATTCAAGGGAGCTTGAAAATGATTTATTTTAGACATCAAAAGCTCATCTTAACCTATTTGCTAACAGATCACAGAAAAAATGTTTAATTTATTTAGACAGATATTATGTTATGTCAGAATCTCACAACACACTTAACTCACAGAGAAAATGGACCAATAGTAAAACAACAAACCCGTAACAACATGAACATAAAACAGTTACATAAAAGCACCATTAAAAAAAAAATAAAAAAAAAAAAAGTGCCGAACCAATAAACTGGTCAAACTAGAACAATATGACCAAAAGACAGCACAGTTTCAGGATATGTACAGAATTAGTTAAACAATACTGCAGAAAAAGCAGAAAATATTAAGCATGATACACTCAGTGAAATGTGAATATTAGATGATATTGCAGGATAAGTCTGATGATATTCCATATTTTTCTTTGGGTTAAAAAATTCTCATGAAAAGACAAAACTAAACGATCAGAAGACAACTCTAAGTATTGTCTGTGCAGCCAGACCCTGATACAGTTTATTCCTCTGTGTGCCTTAGAGCTCCGCTATTAAAACTATCAAAAACATATGGGTAAGCCACGCTGTTGCCTTTGGTGTCATGTTCCTTTATCATGATGATCATGAGCCCCGTAGTCGTGCTGGATTTTTGCACATATGCTGTTCTGCTGTTATAAACACTCACCACAGCACCAAATGTGTTTTACTCCACAGCTAAAAATAGTCCCCAACAAATGTACTCTTCTACTCCTGTTTGAGTTCAGGGACTTAATCAGTAGATACATGTATTTGTGATCTGTTGTTAAAGATTTACATTTTCAGTCTAAATGGATGAACATGGAGGTGAATGCTGTAGACAAAGAAGGGAAGTTGGAAAATATTGAAAGACTAAGGCAAAGTTGGTTTTGGTCTTTTTATGGAATTTGTTAACAACAGCAAAAGTATAGGACATCATCAGCCTTATCCTTTAAACTGAATACAGACAAGGCTGCTGGGCCTGTGTTCTTTCCAAAAACACTGACTGTATATACAGAATATAAAAATGATCATGCTACCAGCTTTTCATTATGCACAAAAAAAATGCTTCAATGAACAAAAGTTTTCCTCATCAACATTCAATTTCTGGTAATTTTACAAAAAAAAAAATACACTCATAAGCCCCTTAACCATCAACACTGCACAAGGTTTAAACAACAATGTTATATACCACAGGTATTTATACTGTATGTGAGCAGGTTTGTTGACATCCTTATATAATCTTCTACCTACAGAGAGCACAGAGCTGTAATGAAGCTCAGCTGACCGTGGCTCAGGGCGGAGTGATCATGATGACATTTCTGAGCTCAACAATGGCTGCAATTTTTTTATCCTGGATCAAAGTGTCCAAGCCTGTCAGATCATTTAAACCACAATCTTGCACATAATATCTAGACTTCGCTTTTATAATGCAAAATATCAAAGACCTGATGGTTAAAAAAAAAAGAAGAAAAGAAAAGAAAAAAAACACCGGTGTTCCTCTAACCTGCTGCTGGTTAAAATCAGTGGTAGTGAATCTGGATGGTTCGGCCGATGAGGAGGAAAAGAAGGCCTGCCAGAAGGCAGAAGAAGATGCCAATGGGGGCAAACATGAAGGACAGACCGTAGCTGAGGGACAGCTGGAAGTCTGCACACACCGCTGAGCGCTGGTGGTTTACGTAAACATCCACCACATCCAACACCTGCACCCACAGTACGTACATCACCACCACACACAGCAGGAAAATACCTGGTGCAGAGAAGAGCGACACAAGCAGAGACAGAGTCATTGCAGTGAGACTGTAATGACTGAAACTCACTCACATACTTTTTATATAGTCCAGTAGATCCACAACAGGGGATCAACGGTGGGAGAGGAAATCTAGAACCTTTACTTGAGTAAGAGTACAAACACAACACTGTAACATTACACCATTACAAGCTTAATGTACTTAAAGTTACAAAATTAAAATGACTCATTCTGCATAAAATTGTGACTGATGTATTATAATATATGATATTATTAGATTGTTAATACTGATGCATCAATGTGTAAATAGAGTTTGACTGTTGCTGGTTTTTACGACTTGATATACAGTCAGAGTAGTTCAGTCCAGTAATGTTCCCAACCTAGGGCTCTCACCATCTCTGAAGGGTCACAAGATAAATCTGAGGGATCATGAGATGATTATAGGAAATTAAACAAAACAAGTCTTTTTTTTGGGCCATTCTCTAAGTTTTGCTCCTTGGTGAAATATTGAGCAGTTTCACCTCTTTGGGCCTCATGGACAGTCATTTGAGTGAAACCATCTGAGGAGTTTAGAGGGGAAATGTCTGTTTTGTGGTACTGCTAACAAGTCATTGACATCTGAAATGTGCCAAGGGGCCCCAGTGAGTTTTTTTGGTCAGGGGTCACAAGCCAAAAAGGTTTGGAACCACTGGCTTAATCTTTAACAATGCAATGCACTGTATTTCATAGACTTATAATATATTTTTAATGTAAAATCATAGAGCTGTCAAATAAATGTAGTGGAGAACATATTTCCCTCTGAAAATTTAGTTGTGTAGAGGTGTAAAGAAGCATAAACCAGATTGGATTTAACCATTTCAAAGTCTCACCAGATGCCAGTAGGAGGCCGCCCCCTGCTTTGTAGAGGCGGTGGCTGGCGAATGGAGCAGCACAGATGATGACGAACCCACCAAGCACCACAGCCGCCACACCAATCAGCATAAAGATGCTCCAGAAGCCTCTGTAGACTGGATGACAGGAATATTAGCCAGCTGTACAAAGAGCCGTTAAATTGCAGAGGAATGCAACTTCACTTTGTGCAAAGAGATACTCACTTATAGCAGAATCATACTCTGTGGCATTGTGGGTCTGATGAGATATAGGGAATGGGAAGAGGTAGGCGTGCATGCACACTTTTGAGTGTGGCTGATTTGCTGGAGAGAGAAAGAATAAATCAACACAGACAAGAAATGAAAAATGTAATTTTACAAGGAAACAAACACAAATTGGCAATTAGAGGAGATCACACACAAATACAACATCATTATGTGGCAAACAATTCAGAAACACCCCTGCACTTTTACGCTGAAGAAAGATATATGCATCAGCTGTTTTAAGAAAGAAACAGATTATTTTTGATTTATTTTGTAAATTTTCACATAATTTGTAACTCAATTGTTTTTTCAGATGTAGACTTTGACTGCAATCCCTTTTTATTTTGCATCATATAGCTAAATTTGACAAAGCAGAAACAAAAAGATATGATTATTGTGCACTTTTTCATCTATGCTTTTATATTCCTTCCCAACTCTCTTCACTCTTTTCTTCCACCATGTGAAATTCCACAGACCCTCACAAGGTCTTCTCAGTGCTGGAGGCTGTTTTCTGACAATGAACCACCATTCAAAGGCCCCATCAGAAAATAGACGACGCACAATCATCTGACAAACGACCAGAATAACATCACATGGCATTTCCTCTAAAAAGTCAAAGGAGAAGGTTTGTACTGTTATGTCATCAAGCAGTTTTCATGAACAGCAAATCAGAAAGTGATATTTATTCTGCAGCGGAGTCGTGGCGCTGTCATGTGACTCTGTGGAAGCATGACATTGGAGGAGAACGGTTTCCTGCACTCACCAATCATCAGCTTTAAAAAACTCTCTTCCCTTTTATTTGTGTCTCAGTGGATTGTTTCAATAATTGGGGCTATAGTTTAACCCTGATGTATCTCTGACAGCTCAAAAACCTACTGAACTTTGTTCTATCAGCCAGACACTGCATACACTTTCCTAATTTTATGAGAACTGCTTATAAACAGGATTTGAACTGATGACATATTTCAGAAGTCTGCTACAGAAAATGATTTACGTCTGTCTCAGAGATATCGCCTGTAAAATGTGCTGAAATACGATGGATTTTCATATGCTGTAATCATAGTTGACAGTAACGCTTCCATGTCCCAAATTCCTGTTACTGTATAACAGTTCAGAAGATGGTCTAACAATGGGATATTATATTTCTTTGTCTGTGAATGACCTTATGTCAAATAAGTTAATATATATTTGCCCATGCATAGCCCATATGATAGAGAATATTTATATATTCAGTATTCTTTTCATTCTCATGTCTCATGTTGGGTTTTGATAAGGTTTGAAGACAAGAAGCAAACTTTTCAAAGAAAAAAACAGCTGATTTGAAATTATTCTTGTCATTTTTAAATATAAATCTGTGGAAACAATGAGAAAATAAACTAATAAAGCTAATGTCAATACAGCACAAGCATCGACTACTGGAACATCCCGTGTCTCACTTACTGAACCAGAGCTTCCACAGCAAGTTGCTATCATCCATGTTGGCTCCAAAGGAACATCTCCAGAAAAACCCCTCGTGGTACAGAGTAATATCATGACTGTCCTCATGCACCACCACATCTCCACTCTGGAAAGGAGAGGAAAAGACGGAATAATGACTTGTTACCAAATATAAATGGGGTACACAAAGGCTGCACTACAGGGTTTACACAGCGTAAACATAGTCGGGGATGCATTCCATGTGTTGGTCTGTTGAGGCAATTAAAGTCTGCGTGAGCAGTCTCAAGAGGCAGGTGTACAGTGTATTGCCACAGTGGGACAGAGCAGCTGCTAAGCAAGGTCAAGGGTTGAGCTGAGCAAGCACCTCTGACCCCATTCAGGTTTGATTTAGGCGCGGGTCGAGGATGTTCCCATTCAGGAAACACTCATCATTGGTGGTCACTATTTTTGCACATCAGCAAAAAACACAACCTAAATTGCCTGTTACATCAACCATTAAAAACACCTCTCAGAGAAATTATAACAGGGGGTGTGTATAAGTTCTTTAAGTCATAAAGTTTGTAAAATCAAGGTTAATCCAATCAAGGTGGGTTTTATTTTGAAATCAGCATTTCAAGACCTTGTTGAACAATTGTAGTGTTAGTTTGTTTTAAAATTCATATAGAGAGGATTCCTATCTGGGTCAGTGTCTCCTGGGGGTCAAGAGTTACCCCAGAAATAACAACATAATATTCTCTAATATTTCATCTTTTTTCATGTGAAATATTAAGTGGTTTTAGCTTAGTGGAACTCAAAAAATGCATAAAAGAAAACAATTTGTGATGAAGGGTCATACACTGCAATTGGAGTGTAGTTTTCAAGGGACACAAGCAACAAGTTGAGAGCAAGTGCTTTAGGATGCAAACAATCCTACAGAACTGTCCAAAGAATGAAAACAACTGTATTCTTAATAGATCCTGCACATGCTCTAAAAAATAATACTTTATAATTGATTGGATTGAGATCACATTGCATGACTATGTAGTGTATACACCCAGTACCAGTTTGGTTTTATTGTGCTGATATCATTTCATGATACCAGTATCAGCGCGTACTATGTAAAGCTAAGTATGTTCTAGTCAGTGATATTTAATACAGTGCCATACCACTGGGACTACTGGTATTTGTATTTCTATCATAGGGGCACATGGTACAAGCGATGTCTCAATCACTGCATAGCTGCACACATGCTACATTAAACAGTGTCTGATTACACGACGAGGTCCTGCAGGGATGCCTCTCTGCCCTGCAATTTATCTACTGAGAGAATGACTGGAGCAACTGATCATAGTTTCCGAAATAGAAGAAGCATGATTCTAGTTTAAGCGTCAACCATTAGACCTGCAAAGTATTTAATCATGAGGGTGTGAGTGAAACTTGAAAACGGACCATTTAAAGCTCAAATACCAAAATAAAACAATGGAGTTACTTGGTGTATTTTGTCCCTGGCCTACAGCAACAACAGCTGACCTCACTTCAGTTCCAGCAGTTACAAATATTAACATTTTTCAACCTAACAGCACATGATAACTAATATTAAGTGTAGCAAATGATATGTAACTATATTCTGAGCCTCCTTGAGCTGCTGCTGTTTGAAGTCCAACACCCACCTCTATAGTCACACCACCAGGGCCAACAGATCCGTCAGGATTTGCGCGGCAGCTCTCTGAGGCCAGCAGCCAGTAATCAGTTCCAAAAGAGAGGAGGATGAACACAGCTGCCAAAGCCCCAAAGAGCCCGGCAAAAAACAACGCCACACTTAGCTTCATGGTCCAGGATTGACCAGCCGCTCAGCTACTGGATGCCCACACTCGATCTGACTTTCCCCTCCAACTACAGTAAGTGCATGTGACAAGCAGAGGCAGAAACAGTCACTCCTCTTGCACTGTAGTACATCCACTGAGTGAGATGGCTTTTTACTCTGTACAGCTGGTTTATGTTGGGTTAATGGATCTTGACTCCTCTCCTGTCCTGTCCTCTCTGTCTGTGTTATGGGAGGACAAGGTTGTGCACATGACTCCTTTGGACCCTCCACTGGGGTCTGCAGCCAGCCCCCACCGCCCAGCCCCACAACCCCCTGAGCTATTTTTGGGGTCTGACTGAAGGCGGCTGCTTCACTCCACTGTGGGCTGAGTGTGTGGAGCAGTTGGAGAGTGTGAAGGGAGGGGATCATCGCAGAAATAACCGGTGGCAACTGGACACCCAGTGTCTGCACGGGAATGTCAAGGCAGGGTGAGACCGAAAGGACAGAAGAGAGGTAAAGTACCCTACAACACCCTGCCTAAAGCTTCTGGCCCACCGAGACAACATACACAGAAACGGACACACACACCAGTATCATTTCCTGTAAATGGGGGTGATGTAAATTACCATAAATGCACCCTTTCACAGGAGTTCTGGTTGTATCAGACACAACAAAGACAACGTGACAGTGTCTCAAAAAGTTCACAAAACAAAACAATACTGAGAATTTAGTATTTAGTATGTTTTTGATACAGATCACAAAAAACGTACTTACTGTATCTGAATAACCATGTCAGTGCAAAAGGTCCCTATTGTTCTTAATGTTTCTGTGGTCCTGATCAAAAAAGCCATTGAGTCAAGTCAATTTTATTTGCACAGCACTTTTCATATACAATGACAATTCAAGGTGCTTAACATTAGCATAAGCACACTGATCAATATTATTAAATGATCCCAAAATAAAGAATGGACATTAAGTGAATATAACAAAAGGCTGAGAAACAGAAAAGGTTGAAGCTTTCTCTTAAATGTGGAAACAGTAGTGACCTGGATCTTATTTTGGGTTCAGGATTAAAAACTTGTTTTGTGGTTATTGCTAGTCAGTGAGAGTCAGGAGGAACCACTGGTTTATTAGCATCTAAGGGGAACATTTAGCAGTGAACCTTTATGTAGACACCAACTAATTTACACACTGATGTGACCCAGGCCCCCCTCAGCCAGAAGCTCTCCACCCACATCCACTCCTCTGTAGGGCATGTGTGTGTGTGTGTGTGTGTGTGTGTGTGTGTGTGTGTGTGTGGGTGAGTGTGTGTGTGTGATAAAAGATAAAAAATTCAGATCAGCACTTTATCAAATATCACTTTCAGTTACATTTTGATGGATTTTGGAGGCAAGTGAGCAACGTTAACAATCTCATACCATGAACTGGATGTAGTTGCAGCTGCTTATATGTTTAGAATCTTTACTGATGTTTCATTTAAATGGTTTTTTGTTTGTTTGTTTGTTTTTTGGTTTCAACAGCAAATAGGCCGTTTGATCACATAAAATTCAATAACCGAAAAATCTTTCTTTTTTAAAAAAAATTAATCAAATAAATAAATCTCCTTAAAGTCTTTGGTGTGCTGTTTGAAATGTTTTGGATTCCCCAGTTTGCCCAGCAGGTGGTGACAGAGAAACCTGTCTCAGCTGCTCCACACAACTAAAAGCCAATAGAAAATTAAAAAAAAAAAATACATCATGGGAACTTGTTATTAATAGTCTATCTAAACTCAATATGTAAAATGTTGCTATAAATAGTAATTACTTGGTTAATGGAAGCAAGTCAAAAAGAAGCATGGATGGTGTGATTAAACGTTTATTGTGCATTTATTTGTTTAGATCTTTGACCTTTGTCATGGCAGTGATTAGTCTGTCATACTCTCAAGTTTCAAAAATTAGCCTGATGTTTTTGCTTTCTTGTTTGTTTTAATTTGGATTTTTTTATTCAACCATTGTTATTAATAGTCAACAGTGTCAGGTAAAGGTGAATAAGTGCTGATAACATATTTTGTATATAAATACATTCATACAAAAATATAAAAACGAAATGAAGGAAAAAAAATCTGTGCTTGTTTATGAATAGGAATTTCCTCAATTCAGATCTGTGACGTCAGAGGACGAAACCATCTGTCTGAGCAGCCGCGGGGGAGTCAGGCCAGATAACACGAGAATACAACACAACAATATCTCGTACAGCGAGTATTATCGCCGCGCGTTGTATTAGCGTCTGCTTTTAATATCCGCCACTACCAACACCTGCCGTATCAGTGCAGACGGTCAGAACCTGGCAGTTCGTCTGCACGGCCGCCCCCTGCCTGTGAGACCCTCGCCGGGACGGAGACATTTTTCTGTTTGGATCATTCACGGTGAAAGCGGATGAGCTCTTCCGCTTTGGCTGCAGCCAGTGCCGTCACAGCGGGAGGATGAACAACCAGAAATGTAGCACTTTATTTCAGAAACCAAGAGGACGGACGAGGATTATTCAGTGTATCTATGTGGTGGGCTTCATGGTGAGTAGCTCGTTTAAGCGATGTGAATGACCTGTGAGGTGTCTTGAAGTCATGCTTTCAGAACTCAAAGGTATGTTGTAAAAAAAAAAAAAAAAAACATTTCACAACTGCTTGGGTGTGCGTCATGTTTACACCATAATTACAAGGTGTTTGCATTAAAATTGAAAAAATGTAGCTAAAGTAGGAGTCAAATTAATATACTAAATGAATAGAATTAAATAAACCTGAGAACAAGTTTTAAAATATGCAAGTAATAGGCACAATTCTTCCTCAGGGTCTTTAAAATGATTTTAAGGTAATCTTCTAAACATTTTCATAGTTTGTAAAAGGTCTAAATTTCCATTGTTTAATCCTAAAACATACACATTGAGCAGTAATACCTGTCATACTCACCTGCAAAGAGATGCTAAACCTTCAAGTATGTTTGTAAATTCTGTACATGTGTGACTTAAAAGGTGTCAGATTTATCTCCTGCAGAGCTGCTATATTCTAAAATTGTTTGGCGGTCATAAAATTTTCACTGGATATTAGTAAGATGTTGACAATAGGACATGTACATATCAAGTATAAGGGCAGTATGGACTCGAATAGAGGATTACTGACTCAGACTGTCAGACTATCTGCAGGTACATCAAAAATATTAATGCGTATTTTGGAATATGTCAATTGATCAGGTGTGTAGCTACTAGATAAGGAAGACGTTACAGATCATGGCAGGTTGTTTTGACACCTCTGAGTGTTGAGGGTCGCCTCTTCAAAGCATCACTGTCAGTAAAATGTGTTGCAAAGATGACTGGTGCTGACTTGAATTTAACGACTTGCTTGAACCTCATATAAAAGCTGTCACATTTAAACTAAAAGCAATTCTGCATATTTCTGAAGACAGTGAGAATCCCAATATTCGTGCTCTTTTCCAGAGATGATTTGCAGTCATTTTCCAGAGAATTAACTTTACATTTCAGCCTGCATAGCTGGCTTAATCAGCATCTAATTAAAGGTGACTCACAAGGTCAGATTTTTGGCACATGGAGAGGACAGACATTGCTGGGACAGTAATGCTACTGAAAGTTAAACAATTAGTATAATGGGTAGTGGTGGAACACTGTATGAATTGCTGTGTGACTTCAATCAAGAGTTTGGCAAGAGCTTCTCTGATCTCAGCAATGTAGATAAACAGGATGAGCAGTGACTCTTCTGTGGCTTCTGCAACTATCAGCCGACTCTCTGTGACTCTGTGTCTCAGTCCGGCTCCTCATTCTTCTCTCCTTCACCTCTTTGCTTTCTTTAGGATTTGTTTGGGGTGAGCATGATCATCCCGCTGCTGAGCCATCACGTGAAAGCTCTAGGAGCCAGTCCCACTGTGGCTGGTATAGTAGGTAAGGTGTGTCCATTACATAGAGTAATTAATTAACATAGCCTACATAATGGCAGATGCGGGGTCCTGAGAGCGATATCATAATTGATGTATAATTAGTCTTATAACTAAATAATTATGTACTGGCCAGAGTTAAGACAGATAGAGATGCAAATAACCATCATTTTTTAAGGGGATGTCATGAAAACACATAATTGCTAACAAAACTTTTGCAATAACAAAGCATCACACACGGTCTTAATTTTTCCATCAGTAAATATAAAAAGTCATGAATCAATTAACCAACCAAATACAAAAACCCCAAGCAAATATAGAAACACTGCAAGTTGTGCAGAACAAAACAGAACTGAGTTCTGTCTGTATGAAGATTGTTGTTGGGTTTTCTTAATTTGCTTGTGTTTTTGTCTGTTTGGACGTGTTTTTCTCGAGCTCTCCCCCATACGTATACCACCACGTATTGTATACTTTGTGTATGTGTGTAATAAGCAATGATTATGATTATTTTTTGGATCATGTTCAGATTTGACAGTTAAGTCTTAACGGTATATCAGCGTTTGTACTGTAAAAAGATTGAAGTAGCATAGTCACTTTAAGCACGTGATGTCTGCTCTGTGATTTACAGTATATTACACATATGAATTAAAACAAATGCACTTTGCAAACAAACTGTTGCAGGATCTACATATGGGATCTTACAGCTCTTCTCAAGCACAATAGTTGTAAGTATTGACTTGGCTTCTCTCTGAAAAATCCTCGAGCTCCGTCTCTGTCTCTAACCCTCTATTCAGCCTCTGCTGCTCGACAAGGCGTGCTCACAGTTAGTGGCCAAAATGGTTGCATTCCATGTCATCTCTGGTATTTCATGAGAACAATAAACACTGGCTGTTTTAAGTTGATTGTGGTCATACAATACATGCAGTCTTTGCATATTCACACACACAAGCTACTCCCAGTTAGCTGCAGATCCACAAATATCACTCTTCTCACACAGAAATAAATGATTCACTCTTTGACATCTCTGAGCATTGGGCAGACTTAACAGTAAGGATGGCGTGATGAAATATCAAAGCCTTAATGATTCAAACTGTATACAAACTGTTAAGAAATTACTCAAAAGTAGTCCGTGATGAGCATTGGCATCTGACATAAGATTCTCAGCTTTCCACGTCTCTCGTCTGCCGCGCACAGCTCCTGCAATTGGTTTAATTTTCAGGGGTCATGCGACAAATTAAACAGATAAGGAGTCATCTGTTGATTCCCGTGAGCAGACCGGTTGAATCCTGATAAACGTAGGGATACGTGAACAGCTGGGTCTCTATGATAATCCCACCCGGCTACATCCAGAACACAGCAAACTCAATTGGTCCTAATTTCATTATTTCATCAGGGTGTGTGTGTGTGTGTGTGTGTGTGTGTGTGTGTTGAAGAGAGAGAGAGGGCAAGAATCTAAAAAAGACTTGTGTAACAGCCTGAGCTGCTTGGTTAAAAGGAAATGCACGTTTTTTTTTTTTTTGGATTTCTGGTTTTAGTCACCTGATCTTTCACACGGATTTACCCAAAGTCAGACTCATAAAAACGATTTTGTATTTCTTGCATCAACGGCCAGGCTTCTACTTTTATTGATTTGTCTCGTTTGTAGGGATGTTTGATGATGTTTCACAGAGACTTCTAGAGAATGAAAACTTGGGTTAAATTTCTGTTTGTGGTTGTGTTTCATTTCCTGTGTGTTTAAATTGGCAGGGCAGCTGGAGTGACGTGGTGGGACGGAGGTACTCTCTGCTGACCTGTCTGCTGCTGAGTGCGCTAGGCTACGGCCTGCTGGGGATGTCCACTAGCATCGCTTTGTTTGTCCTCGCACGGATACCTGTGGGTGAGTTGGACCGCTGTCCAAAAGTATGTGGCAGCCTTAAAGCCAATAAAAAAAATTTAAAAATCAGGAAATGAGTTGGATACTTATTCCCCATGTGTTCTCTGTCTCAGGGCTGTTCAAGCACTCCCTGTCAATCTGCAGAGCCCTGCTGTCTGACCTGGTGTCTGAGTCAGAGCGCCCTCTGGTGATGGGACACTTTAATGCCGCCTCTAGTGTTGGCTTCATCTTGGGCCCTGTGGTGGGTGGCTACCTCACAGAGCATGAAGGAGGCTTTTATACCTCCTCCTTTACTTGTGCAGCCATCTTCCTCATTAATGCAGGTGGGTTGAAAATGGAGAGAAATATGACATATTTCAATATTAACATATTGAAATATTTATCTAACGTGTTGCGTTTATCATTCCAGGACTGGTGTGGATGCTACCGTGGAGCGAGACACTAGTTCACCGCAATGATACTAACTCCAGCAACAACACTAGTAAACGCTGTCATGACAACCACTGTAGTACGTCTGTACAGAATGGTTCTCATACAAATAAAAACCACGTATTGCTGGCAGCAGACGCTGAACCGGGCTCCAGAGCTCCAGGGAAGCTTCCAGGTGATCTCAGGTGGAGGGAGGTGCCTCTGCTCCAGCCTGCCTGGAGACAGCTGTCGTCAGTGGGCTCCAAGATCCACATGGTGGCTTCTTCCGACATGTGGGACCTCTTTCTGGTGCGTCTTTTGATGGCCATAGCAATCATGCTTTACTACAGTAACTTCTCTCTGGCCATGGAGGAGCGTTTCTCACTTAAACCAAAGGTGACAGGTTATCTGATCAGCTACAGCAGCACCTTAGGGGCCCTGGCTGGGTTCCTGGTGGGGCCAGTCACGCAGCTCTATAAGAATAACATGCCTGCTCTGCTGCTGCACTCCACAGTGCTCACCTGTTCACTTATTTTCCTCTACGCTGCTGCGCCCAGCGTCTGGCAGGTGCTTCTCACCTCCACCTTCTTTGCCATTTCCACCACCATTGGACGGACATGTATCACAGACCTAGAACTGCAGAGGGGAGGGGTCCAGGCCAGCGGGACTCTGATCGGTGCCGGACAGTCCGTTACAGCTGTAGGTCGCGTCCTGGCTCCTCTTCTTTCCGGTCTGGCTCAGGAGTTCAGCCCTTGCGGTCCCCCTAGTCTGGGAGTGGTCCTGGCTCTAGCAGCTGTGGGTTTACTACTCATCAGGATCCCCAAATGGGACGGGAGAGGAATGACAAAAACAGACAAAAAACTCTGAAACTCAGAGCAACTCAATTAATTTAAAATTATGATAAATAATGTACATCCACCACTCAGAGAAGTGCTCTTATTTTGTAGGTGGCCGCCGGTGAAGGACTCACAGTGGGAGCAATGTGTCTCACTCGAGCTTGTTTCTTGACAAGATGCCCTTTACCAATACATTTGTGGGTCAAAGTGGCTCTTCACCACCAGCACTCCGGCCCTTCTTTGGGAGAAAGGATTCAAAATTCAAGAGCAGCACTGAGAGTGAAGTCAGGGCTGAAACGTTTAATCAGCTTCCCCCCCTGTGCTGAAGCATGATCAGACAAACATGTGGGGCATGTACTGGCACATATTACTTGTGACAGCTTGATTGGAAACAAGGTACACTTTGATTTTTAATATAACCCTGTAACCACTACATTGTCCAAAATGCCCTCAAGTGCACCCACTGCGGAAGAGGAAGGTGCAGGCAGTGATACTTCAGACATTCATAAATAAGATGAACCTCTGGGGAAACTGGACTGCCTGAACACAACATTGTTCTACTTTGGGGTAGCCAAGTTGGTCTACACATTTTTACCTCAGTACCAGATGTTTTTTTTTTGTTTTTTTTTGTTTTTTTTTTAAACACACTGCATCAGAAATGGTTCCTATGGTGGTATATGAGCGAACTTTTGCTCTAGTTTTTGACACTTGAATTTTACAGTTTTGTCAGATTTGAGATGTGTTAATTTATCTTAGGGTATGCTTAAATGGACATTTAAAGAAGTGATTTGTTGTTTTGTTTTTTTTAAGTTAAGTTTCAAGTGAATTGTGGGCACTACTGTTTTTAAAAAACCCAAATAGATGGAAAGATGGAAATTGGTGGAAATGAATATTAAGAAGTCACTGAATATGTGAATAACAGGCCAGATTCATGCCAGAAAGTCACAAGGAATAAACCATGTTTTGTATGTTTGAGTCTATGGTGTTATCAATTGTATATGAAACATTAAAGTCAATGCTGCGGTGTGCATGTTAACATTCAACTACGTCGTACATACTGTACACATCTGCCGTCTTCTCCTCCTCTTAGAAAACTGTGACACTAAAGGCACTGTTCAAAGTTATCTTCGAGGTTTAACCAGAATACTTGAAACCTGTTTTATACAACTTAGAAAATTTATTACAGTAACAGAAAACAATAAAGTGGGTCCAGATTTGTGGGATCCATGAACGTAACAGACATACAAAATCCAGTCACTCCCAAGAGTACAGCAATAGTTCCTCACGTTCAACTAAAATGGCCGATTTACAAAACGTGTATTCAATCACACAGCTGTTACACACAACAGGCAATAAAAATACAAAAAAATATAATATTTACATGTAATGAGCAAAAAATAATAATAATTAGTCACAATAAAACAGTTTAACTTAAATCACATTTAAAAAAAAAAAAAAACCTACAGGAAGATAAAATCATTAAAATCACATTTATGTGACTTGTTGAAATAAAAACACAGACGAAGCCTGGACTCTCAGTTCATACACAGTTCCTCCATCATCGTGCGCTGTGATGTGCCTGCGACCTCTGACCTCTGTCCATTTGGGCTCATTTTGAAGGGGTGGTTAAGCTCTTCTATGAAAGGATCTCCACTGGTAATCTACTAGTCCTTTACGTGATATGAATACAGTTATATGTAGAGGCCCTGGAGCTGCTTTAGAACCTGAGACTCCGTGTGTGGCAGTCCAGCTGCTGCTGAAAGCCCAGGAACGCATTTTACATCTTGGGGTTCCACTGTGGCCGCCTGAGCAGAGGGTTTCGTGTCACATTGTCCCTGGGTTCAGCAGCCCAGGCTGGAGATGGAGACGAAGGCGGCTGCTGCTGCTGCTCCTCTCCTGCTTCATGATGCACGTTTCTGAAGTTATCAGCTGAGCCGCTCTCATTGTCAGCGGAGGAGCTGAAGTGACGGCGAGGGGCATGCACACGGGAATCGCTGTAGGAGGAGTTTGTTCTGGACATGCCACGCCCCGTCCTTCTACTCTCATCCCTGCCTTCATCCAGAACATCAACGGACGGTGCTTCTTTCAGGGTATCTAGCCTTCGTAGGGGCATCATGGCTCTGGAGGAGGAGCGTGTCGGCTGGCCAAACCGAGAGCGTCTGGAGGGGTAGGCCACCTCTGACATGGTTTCTTGACCATCTGTGACAGGTGAAGACGCCATCACATCATATCATATTTTATACAGCTGCATAAAACACACTTCGTATGTGGGCAGAGAGTTTAACCTTAAACCTGCCAGCGGCCCAGTCGATATGGGGGGGGGGGGGGGACCAGGGAAGAACTTGAACTACTTTGGGGCAGATCCGGGGCATTCACCATGAATTAGATTTTTTTTTTTTCCTGAAGTGTGGTTTATATTATTTGACATTGGCCTTGGCGGAGGTCTGCGTTCTCTGAGTGCCCTTCTGTTTAACACATCTATCATCATAGTTTAGCATGTTATGATGCTAACATTTGCTAATTAGCACTAATCACAGTACAGCTGAGGATTGTGGGAATGTGATTAGCTTTGCAGATACTTTAGTTATAAACCAAAGTATTGGACAAATTAAAATTTTGCACTGATGGTGCCATTACAGGAAATCAAGGGTTTGAATATTTTACTCCGTCTTAAAAAGATAAACTATAGCTTCAGTGAAGAACAATATGGCAAATAAATACCAGAGCAATATCCACTCACTGAAAAGGGCCATGAGGTACGGTTAAAGCTGGTTAAAGCTGGTTAAAGCTGGTTAAAGCTGGTTAAAGCTGGTTAAAGCTGGTTAAAAGTGGTTAAAAGTGGTTAAAAGTGGAAAAAGCTAACAAGTGAAGTGCTGTACAGTGTGGAATAAGGGGTTTAAAGTTAAGGGTTTAAAGTTGGGTTAAGAACCTTACCTGCATAGCTCAGCCTCTCAGGGGGGAAAAAGTTTGAGTCCAGACTCTTCCCAGCAGGAAGAGAGAAGTACTTATGAGATCTGGGCTCCACCTGGGAATAAGATGAGAGGGGAGAGGAGAATGGCAAGAGAGGAAAAAAAGAGAATAATGAACAAGACATGGGATGAAGACCGTGAGCCTCAGGCATGTTTTACAATACTTTCATCTCAGTGTAAAAAGAGCTGATTAACCTTCCCTTTTATGAGATTCACTTCTACTCTCACTGAGCTGCTTTTAACCTGAGAGGCTGAGAACATAATGTCGCAAGACCTCAGGTCAATATCAGTCATAGTTACACAACTTATTACTGACCGATGTCTGGAAGCTTCCAGGTCGGAGGCTGCGGCGGATGCTGGGGTGGCGTCTGATCAGTATCTCTTTGGTGTGGCTGTCATTGGGCAGGGCGTGCTTGCCTGTGAATGCCACCGTCTGAATAAAGAAAAAGCACAGAAGGTAGAAGATACAGCATTACATACACGACATCAAATGGCAGGTGCAGACTGCTGATGAACATATCAAGTGAGGCTGAATAATATACAAAAAAAATCATATTGCGATTATTTTGGCAGATATGGCGTTTGAGATAAGAGTCACGGTTTCAGTTGAAATGGTCATTTTTGCTTTTCATTTTCACTGGAAAAAAATATAAAAATGATGATGATGGGATTTTTGTTGGAGCTTGTATGAAACAAATGTGATTCCTTTACATCTGGAGAATATGGTTTGTAGGCCGGGGCGTCTCTGTAGCTCCACGATGCTTCACTTATGGTATGTTGTGACACGTCTGACCTTAATCAAAAAAAAAAATTGCAACTCCTACAATTTGGAATTTACACTTTCCCATACTGCAAATTATTTTTCAATTAACTCTTCAGCCCTAATATCAAGTATTCCACCATTTTTCATATGAGCCTACAAGTGGCCACAATGATTTAACTGTAAGTTCAGTAACACCCCCCCCCCCCCCATAAAGGCTGAGACAAATACACAGTTGAGATGCTTTGAGAGGAGACAGCATTCTTTACGGCTCGGATTACTCAACCAAAACTGGCCACACCCAGGGGTGAATGTCTCTGTTTGGACTTTGCGAGCTCCAACACTAACTTCTTCTACACAGCGTACCCATCACTGTCAACACGGCTCTTTCTGTCCCACAGCTATTAGTTCGACCTAAAACAAACATAACCGCCTTTCAAGCGCTCTGAGGTGGCCTTTGTTCTTTAAGGAAAGGTCTCATGCCAACAAAATGCTGCCGTCTATCTCAGGAGAGGTCAAAACGGTCAGAGAACAGGAAACAATTGAAAATACAGTTTGTTTTTTAACGTCACAATTTTGCATTTTCAACGAATAAAGCGGCTCACGTTAAAACACGTAACACCACAGACAGAAGTGAGGGAGAGTTCATGGGAGAGACGCGACTGTAAATATGTGAAGAGCAGAGGGGCGAGGGATTTGTAAAGAGGGGCTATTAAGACAATCAGACAATTTGTCTACCACCTAGAACAGAAGCACATGCTCTCTATTTGCCTGAACATCAAAGCGTCTCTCAGAGCCTTTTTAAAGGGTGATGTCATGTCACTAATGGAAAAGTACTGCCGGCCACAGTGTGGCTATGCAAAACAGCACCAAGTTTCAGTGTTTGGAGGACTCACACCGGAGTGAGGGAAGCGTCACCAAACAATCTATGATGAGGATGAAAATGATGCTTTGCTGGCGAACACAGACAACAGGATTTTATGTTAAAAAAAAATTAAAAAATTAAAAATCCTGTGCTGAAACTCCTAATTTCTTTTCGAGCTGCATGTGACATTATGTGGCTACTACTGTATGTACTGTCAGCAGCCGAACAGCTAAAATGAAAACGTATTAAGAGTGGTGGTAGCTTTCTGCCTTCACTCAATCTTACAGTCTTACTACTTACTGTAGTTTCTGTGTATTGTTGTTTGTGGTGTAGCGATCAGAGGAGGAAGAAATATTCAGATCCACCACTTACCAATATATTGATGTAAAAACACTCAATTACAAGCATTCAAAATCCTACCAGAGTAAAAGTACCATAGAACAATGACCCATGACTGATATATTACTATAAATAATTTTACTAGATAATTAAAGCTGATGCATTTTTTCATAGCTGGTCGAGGTGGAACTGATCTGATCTAGTGGCAGCACTTGAGTGAATGCGCTTAGTCACTTTCCACCACCGTGCTGCATGAAAATAAATTAAAAAGGGGAAATAAAGCAGACTGCACACTGCTGCTATCCTCCTGCCAGACTTTTTCATCTCACCCGTTGTCTGATCTTGTACATGTTCTTGGACAGGATGTCGTGCATGTTCCTCAGGTCTGCAGCCATGAACTTCCTCTTAGGTCTAGCAGAGCTCTTCTTTTCCTCACTAAAAAAAAAAAAAAAAATCAGACAAAAAACAGGATATTAAGAGAAAATGCTTGTTCTTCTGTTGATCTCAACAGACAATAAGGAGGAGGTGTGACAGTCAGAGTAGCACAGAGACATGATGAGGGTTTCGTACTAGAGAGAGACGATGGACGGAGCGGCACTGATGTCTCCCGACACCTTGTCCAGGATCTCCATGGCGTTCTGCAGCTCTAGCTTCTTGTACAACGCCACAATACTGGACTCGGCCCGGCTGTCGCGGATCAGGATCCTGCGCAGGATTCGATTGTTGAATTTCATGAACCTGAAATTGAGATTAAAAATGATTGCACTGATTAGGTTTGTGTGAAACAGAGGTAGGCGTGAAGGAAGTTGCTTTTCTTCCTCAAGTATCGGTTCTTGCAATTGTAATTCTGGGATCAGTTCATTTTATATTATATTTTTGTAGCACAGTACAGACCCAAAACAAACATTTCACTGTCATAATACTTTCTGACTCCTCTGTGTGTCGTACTCATGCTCACTGCATGTATTTACTATTTAACTCAAACTTAAAATCTAGAGTCTGAGGCTTGAGGAACGTGTCTCACAAGATGAAGAGTGAGTCAACAAAGCCAAGAGGAGGAGGAGGAGGAGGAGGAGGAGGAGGAGGACTGAAGAGAGAGAAGAGGCATGGGGATAAAAGGAGAAGGGAAAGCAGTATAATACAGAAGGAAGTCGTCTGCTGCTGTCTAATAATGTTTGTAAATTTCAGTAACATTTAGTAGATGGTTATCATATAATATAACCTACTATATCCACTGTATGTTCACAAGAAAAACTAAATGTATAATATCTCTGATATATTTTAGGGGTATTAAGGAAGCTACTTTGAAGTTACAATACTGCAAACTATTATTGCTTCTAATCAATTTCATTTGAAACAAATGTTGTGTTTATAAAACCCACAGAAACAAGATTCAATCCTAATAAGTCCCACAAATGCAAATTAATGGCTGAACAAGCACATAAAAGGGTTCATTGCATTCACTTTCAATTGTGTTTTGCTGCAGTTAACTATGCATCAAAACACAAAGGTTGTACATTAATGCAGCGTAAAATGTAATTAAATATACATTTCACGCAATTAACAACATCGGTATCATGTATCTGGAAACTTCAGGGCATGAAAACAGTCAGAGGAGGAAATGAGGAACTAAAAGATAATCATTCAGACACCAAAGTCTGATTGGCTGTCAACATTCCCACACAGTCCCGGCGTGAACAATGGCACTGTCAAACAAAATCGTAAAGAGGGAAACTGAACGAAGGTAAACTAAAACTGCCGTCTCTCTTCCAGTCTCACTGCAGGTTCTTTCTCTTTAGTTTTATCGGTGTGAAGCAGTTAAGCAGTGGCTAGTTTAAGATGAGGAGAGTAATATTCACATTTTGCAGGCTACCCATGACTGACTAGCAGTAGATTATGTTGTGAATGAGCAAACAGAGAAGACAAAGTTCTTACTTGTCCTTCCAGTAGAAGTGGCTCCACTGTCCACAGAGGTCCTCTATGCCTGCTACAGTGTGCTCCATGAGCTGAGAGAAAAAGTGAGAGCTGTAAACGTGGTGTTTTATTTGCGGATCTTATTCCAGCTTTTAATACAAGCCAACCACATATGCCTGTACAGAAGCTAAAGGACGTACATTTAAGTTCTTTTGTTATTCTATTGTTTTATTCTTTTTTAGCAAACAGGTTCCAACAGATAAAAGGCTATGAACTTCCTCTCCAACACCAAACACTGTAGTACGGGGCTGCCTCAAGGCTGTGTGAGCTCCCCCAGACAAATTTAGGAGCAGTGGGCCGAATAATTACATCATCAAATTCTCCGACCCCCTCAAATGATCACAATGAGACTGCCATCTTTAAGTAACTGGTGTGACGGGCACCGCCTTATTCTCGAGGACTAAAGAAATGATATTTGACCCCAGGGAGGTGAGAACCCATGACCCTGTAATCGTAGACAACAGTTTAATTGAGCAGGTGTGCTCCTACGAGTGCTTGTGCATACCGACGGACAATAATCTCAAATGGACATGCCTGTGTTGAGTATTCGTTTGCCAGGCTGGTTCAGAGACTTTACTTTCTCTGTTTGGGGTCAGCGCTGAGATCATGGTAAATCCTGACTCAGGACATGCCCAGATTTTATGCGCTGTAAATTTGATTATGGTTTTATGTTTTTTTTTTTATTGTCTATTTATTCATTACAAGCTATTTTTCAAGGCAAGAAATATAGTACTCACTGTTTTGTCCGTCTGTGTTATTTTATGAAGTTGCGTGTATTGCACTACTGCCCGAGGCAAATTTCCCCACAGGCACAAGAAAGTGTATCTAATCTCATTTTAACAGTGTCCGCTACATGTACAATCATCAAAGCTGTGTCGTACCCTGCAGTGGATCTCTACATTGATGGTGTCAAGATTGCGGTTGGTTCTGCGGACATTGATGAACTCAATCAGAGGGCGGATACTGATGCCCTGTAGAGAAGAGGAAAAAAAAACAACAACAGGAAGAAATGAGAGTTTTTAAAATCCCAACTGACTGTCAAAAGACTGCACATCATGCCTGTAATGATCCACCGTCACTGATTCTATTTGTAAAGATTGTTTCTCTACACTTTAATGGCCTGAGCTGGTAGAATTTGTTTTTAATGCAGCATGGGGGGAAAAAAAACACAGTGTGAGCAACATATTACACAATAAATGCTAATAACAATATATAAAGTGGACAATGAAGAGCTGAATGTGTCAAAATGCATGATGTAATTATTATAAATTAAGAGGCAGAGGCTTAGTGCAGCAGCAAAAAGCTGCTCTGCTGTAAACTCGGTCGGTTTGGTGGACAAGGATCTGTTTGACGTCACTGTGGCGACTCAGAGTGGTCTGACATTGAGCTGGAATGCAAGAACATTAAATCTAAAACCCTCACATCGTACTAGATAATGAAATCAGTCCTGATCTGGACTTTAAATCATGTGATGTCTGTTTCAAGACTATTGTTTCTCTCTCACTGAGAATCACAGGCTGCTTTATATACAGACAGCTTCTTCTACTTTACTCTACTGCTGAGAGAAAACACCAACATCAGACTAAAATAAGACAAATTATTCCCAGCAAGCAACAGTGCAAAATGTTTTGAATACAACCGCACAGATGCTCTCTTACCTGAAGAAACACAGTGAAGAGGATGATGGCAATGGTGGCTGTGATGAAGAGCTGCTTGCGGCCGATGGTATCAGGCAGAGTGAAGGCCAGGGCAAATGAAATCGCACCTCGCAGACCACCGTAGGCCAGACCAAACTGGTCTTTCAAGTTGAAAGGGATGGTGCGGAAAGGGTTAATGATCTGAGTCAGCACTAAGACACCTGAGAGGGAAGAGCAGAGAAAGATGTCAAGATGCTTTTTTCAGAAGTTGCACTGTTAACAAGTTTAAAGCTGCACTGGTCAATATTTTTATATTAACAATCGATCAAATCACATTGGTCCCTCGCTGTAATGATGGCACAAAGAACCTCAGCTCTACCAAGCTTCGTAGCATCTTTCACCTCCTTATTATTATTTTTTAGTTTTTATGGTCCACATCGACCTTGTGTCCAGCTGCAGCTCGAGCCCACAAAGAATCCCCAGCAAGTAGCTGTTTTTAGCAACCAAATAAAAAGCTCTGATAAACCCACTGTGCACTATCTGCTAGAGCTAAAGCTAGAGAGGAGCTGCTGAGCATAACAGCATTTAGCTGGTAAATTTAGCAGCGTTTTGCCAACCTAAACAGACCTAAACAGAGCTGGAAGGTGAGTGGATAGTCATCGGCTACTTTCACCATTAACAACAACAGTCAGTGAAACTATCTCAGTGCTGCGTTTACGGCTCGTTCTGCTGCCAGAAGTATCACTTGATGTGGTTTTAAAGAGTAATTTAACCAGGCTGAAGAACAGTTTTGCTTTTCTCTCCTGTTCAGAGTTTCAACTCAGTTTCATCTGTTGACCACACCCATTCTTTGGTAATCACGCCCAAAAGTGATGTCAGCAAGGTGAGCAGTTAAACCACTGGAAGTAAGCAACTCATGTCATCATGAGTGTGCACAACACAAACCAAACCAGGACTCACTCCGAAGAACATTGCCTCTACAAGTTAGGCAGATGCAGTCGAACAAAACCTGACCTCTGACATGACCCAGATAACCCCTGCCCTCTGCTTACCCAGTCCTCTCCATATAAAGGCAAACAGCAGCGTGAACAGTATGTAGCCCCAGTTCCACTCGTGCTCGGTCGTTATCGTGACGACCCCGAGGAAGAAGAAGATGAGGGTCTCAGAGATGGAGCCAAGCATCTTGACCACGTGGCGGATGGTTGTGCAGGAGCGCTGGGAAACATTTTCCTCCACGTAGTATTTCATGGTGAGGGCACAGGTAACAATGCTGCAACAAGACATAAGTTAGTTGTTACTCTTCTTTATTCTTGCAGCTTCGAGAATATTTGGACCTGTAAACATTTTAAAATCGACTCACGCCATGATGGACGAGATAGCGAAGAGCTCGGCCACCAGATAGGCCAGGTAGCTGTACATGAATATGAAGAGTGGCTCGATTTCTCGGACCTTGGAGGTGAATCTGGTGGTGAAGGCGGCCACAAAGCCGAACAGAATGCCAAAGCCCATCCCACCGAGCCCGACCACGAAGAACCTCGCCACCCCCAGGAAAACATCCACCGGCACCACCTCTGGCATGTTCGCCACGAAGCTGAACATGTTGTACAACACCTGAAAACATACGCGCACATGTTCACACACATTCAGGGACACTTGTGCAAACACACGCACTTTTGGGTCAGAGGTCATGGGTGGTGTCAGGAGCTGTGGCCTCTAATGACACCGTTTCAGATAAGAGTGATTTATTGAGATATTTGCTTTGCACTGTTTGCAATTTGATAGTGCCATTTCACCCAGCGCAGTGAATGACTCACGGAAAAGGAGCATTTGGTTACTGTTCATTTACAAGGAATGAAGTAGACAGACACAATTCACAGAGCACATATAACAGAGCAAGTTCTATATTTCTCTTATTAGCCACAAATTCCATGAAAAGATCAAAACCATCCACGAACTGATGCTACTAACAAGTGTTGTATGTGTAGCCGACGCCTGATTATTCTTCTGTGCCACCGAGCTTCTTTGTTGTGACATGGTCCTTCATTACCATAATTTTAATTTAAGTCAGTTCCACATGCACCATCCGGCTGCTGTGAATACTCACTAGTGCATCTAATCTGCAGCTTAAAGGAATCAGGAAAACTCCGCACTATTTACTCCTGTTTGAGTAACATTTACTAAAAACCACAGTGTCCAGCTGTTTAAGGAAAGTTTATATATTTGTGACATGTTTTTAAAGATTCACAATTCGAACGAATTGTTGGTTTTGGTCTGATTTGCTGGGATTTGCTGAATTTAACAAAAATGTAGAATACCACCAGCTCCGTCACAGTTTTATTGTGGTATTCAGTTTGGTTCAAGATCATGTTTACTTGTAAATAGTAACTATGCTGGCAGCACTAGGAACGGTCTTGATAAACAGCCCTAAATAAGTATAACTATTTTGAAAAAGGCTAACTTAAAAGGAAACTTTTCCACTCCAGGACAAGCTTGTCAAGCACTCAGGGAAAGAAGTGTTTACCAATAACAGAAAAATCGAGATAAGGCAAACAGGAAAAAGATTGGTCCCGTTTTCACCACCTATTTAAAACAGATCTGCGTGCGTAGTATGACGGCAACAGCTTCCCTGGCAGTCATACATTGGATTAACCTGCCGTTCTCAGTCAAGAGCGGAGCTGGGAACACTGGCCACCCGAAACAGTGTGACCCCGACCTTTAAATAATACAATTCTACTGGGCCCCGACAACCATCACCACCTTCCACCTCACTGGTGACAGCATTGCTCTTAGTATATGAGAAGTGTTTTATGTTTTTGCCAGATATTACATCTAGTTTAATCGGTGCAATTCTGTAACACACGGACCTCTGCACAGGCCATGTCTGGACTTTCCCATTCTCCTGTGTAAATGTTTGTCTTCTCTTTCTGCATCGGCTCTGCTACTGTGTACTAAACAACAGGGTCACCACGCCAAAGCTAACAGCAGGTTAATGCAGGTTGGTGGGTTTTTAGCACAATAAAAAAAAAAGAGGGTGGGGGGAGGAAATTTGAGCATGAGCTCACCTCAGTCAAATTTCAGACCACAATGTGTGTGTGTGTGTGTGTGTGTGTGTCTGTGTGTGTGTGTGTGTGTGTGTGTGTGTGTCTCAACTCCTCCCATATAAGCAAATGAAACACTTCAGAAACAGGTTTGGCGGCATCTGTGGAAAGACGCTCCTAAAGGCAACATGGTCCTGGACTGTGGATACATCCGTTAGGCATCTCTGACAACATTCCCTCACTTCCATTTCTGAATAATTTATCTGCTTGGCAATCTTTCCTGTGCACAGACTTCTTCTTCCTCCCACACATTATGTTCTCATACATGTATCCTAACCCAGAAACGAGTGAACAATCTGTACAGTATCTTGTGAAACCTGAGCTGAGCCTTTAGAGGGTGAAAGAAGAGAAAAGCCTAAGACAACACAATGGTGAATCTGCTGTTTCTTGTATTAGTGCGCTTGAAATGAAACGCCCCAAACAGGTTCTGAAATGGTAGGTAGGGTTACAATGGTCTCTGTGATTAACTGCATGTGTGTGGTTGTGACATTAAAGCAAAACCTGGGTAAAATAACCATATTAGAGCTACAGTGTGATCTTACTGGGATAGATACTGGGATATTTTTTTACATATGCCCCACACTGAACAATAATGGTGCCTTGTTAATTGCAGTGCATGTTTTCATAACAAGCAGTAGCCTAGAGGAACCAAAGCAGGCCACCGTGTTGCAGCAGGTCTCAGCTAGCGCCGACTCACCACAGTGACAGCATCATTGAAGAGACATTCCCCAAACACCACGATGTAGAGCTGCTCGTTCACAGACACGTCCTCGAACACACTCAGCACAGCCACCGGGTCCACGGCCGAGATGATGGTGGCAAACAGCAGGTTCTCCTGGAGGTTGATGTCCTGCACGCCGAAAGCCTCAATCTGGCATATGGCAAACAGAGACATGCCTATACCGATGCTGTTCCACAGAGTCCCCACCACTGCAAACCACATTACCTGCAAACACAGTGAGAAGAAAGTCGAATAGTCTGTGTGAGGAGGAGGAGGAGAAGAAGGAGAAGAAGGAGAAGAAGTTGAATCTGCGTTTAGAGACAGTGGCTGATGTGTAACGGACCGTGCCGATGTTCTCAAAGAAAGGCCTGGTTGGCATGAAGTAGCCAGAGTCGAGGACAATCGGGGGAAGCATGTAGAGGAAGAAGACATTGCTGGAGAGCACAGCGGGGGGCTCCTCGTGGACAGAGTGCATGATGCCACCCACAATCAGACCGATGCTGATCAGGAGGCACGTCTCTGGCACCCAGATGGTGATCTTGTGGTACACATTGAAACCTGAGAAAAGAGATGTGACCTCAATTCAAAAGCAGGAACAGGTCTAATGAGAAAGAAGCACTCTGCCTGCAGGAAGCCTTCCCGCATCCTCTCTCCAGGGGTCACAGCTGTTATTAACAAAGTAATCACCTAGATTTGGATCTTAACCCATGATCTCAGTGTCAATACAATCACCTGTTTGAGCATATGTTGCTGTTACTTACCAATCTTTGCGAATGAAGCCAGCAGCACCCAAAGAGTGATCTCAAAGGGTATCTGTATTCTTGGATAATCCATTGTAAACACTGGTAAATTTGCCGTTTCTGCGTTTGGATAGGCCTGTGGGCCCCCATCCGGCTTAACTGGGGGCACAATCGTGACACCACCGGTTGGTTTGGGCGGAATTTCTCCTCTGGAGCCATGAAGAAGAATTAAAACTGAGAAAAGAAGAAATAAAACGCCTCTTCGTGTGGTAATGTTTAAATCCATTTTGCACCGTCCCTACGCAGCAGTTCCAAACTAATGAGAATATCCACGTCGTTGAGATTCAGTCACTCCATCCAAATTCACCAGCGAAGAAAAAAATAAAAAGTTGAAGTGAGAACAAACTCAAGTTTCTCCTCAGTGACGTGATAAGTTTAATTTCCTCGCATACTCTCACTCCACCATCTTCACGTCATTCTTCCACTCTGGTGCCTTCATTGACTTCTTTGCTGAGTTCTTCAGAGTTGTGTGGTCGTGGTGACTCTCCTTCAAACTGCAGGGGAAAAAAAAAACACACCTGTGGTTTACCTGCAGCGCGTCCACGAGTTCCGATACGGACTGGGCGCGGCCCCGAGCGCCGCTCTGATTGGGCGTCACCTGGAGCGGCTGAAAACGGGAGGACATGGTGTTTCTGCTGGTCATGGAGGGGCCACTCTTTAGTTTCGGTCACACCAGCTTCCTGGGCGACACTAGTTTCAACTTTCAGGTGTAATACTGTTGCCCTGAATTATCTAAAGTGGTCCTGGATCAGGCTGCAGGCCGCAAAGGTTAATGGGTAATATAGATTTCTTCCTTTCAAATTTTGGTCATAAAAAAAAAAAAAAAATTATTTATATTTAGACATTTCTCGAGATACATTCTTTTTTACTGAAGACACAAAAAGCAGACACACAATTAGTCTAATCTATATTCACATAGACCACAATGACGTGACTTGAGAGGCAAGAGGGAGAGGGAATCTTAAAATGTTTTGAATATGGTGTTTGAATGTCTGATATGGGTTACTAAGTAAAAACTATACTTTGAGGTGAATGTTTGCAGCAGGATATTATGGGGTGGCAGGATATATTAAGATATTATACAAGATTTTAGATTTAGATTTCAAAATGTTGATTAGGTATTTCATCATTTTGACATGTAGTGACTATTCTTATACTGTATATAGATAGATAGATAGATAGATAGATAGATAGATAGATAGATAGATAGATAGATAGATAGATAGATTTCAATAACCTTCCCCCTAGTATCTCAAAGTGATATATTTATGATGAACAACAAACTGTTGTATACAGACACTATTTTTAATAAAAGGCTGCAAAAGACAAAATCCTAACTTTTTATCCTTATTCCAGGCGCTGACAGAGAAACTTATTAAAAGTTTCATTTAACCATGCTTCAACCGTCTCGTTACACTACTCCATCCATTTACAACAGCACGTGAGCTTGTGGTTATTTGTGGTGGTACAGTCGCGTGCCTGCAGACCAGGCGGGCAGGCAGCGCCCCCCGGCGGACACAGGCGGACCTGCGGGTGTTACGTTGGGCTGTGTCACAGGGAGTCAGGGCGAGTCTTAACTGCAGACATCGTCGAGCGAGAGATCAGGATGCGACCAGGATGCGCATCAATATGAAAAGAAACCATCGCTTCTCTCTTCACGGTATGAGATGTTCATTTTTATTCCCCGTGTTTCCCCGTTCCCTCGCTCCATCGTCATCATCGTCTCATGGTTTATCGAGGGCGTTTGTTCACTGTGATGGATGCTGTCGTTGAGAGAGAGAGAGCAGGCTCAGAATGAGACATGTTTACAGCCACAGACAGATCTCAATTGTCGATTTAGCTGTTTGGGTTTTTTTCATATAAATATATACATATATATATATATATGTACGTGGCCTGTTTTGAATAGTGTACACCCTGCAGCATCATGCAGCTGCCTCAGTGAATGAGCATCAGCAGATATCATGACGCAATATTTGTTATTGTCCGAGTGTCAGTGAATAAACATGTATCCACACTGAAGTATAATCACAATAGATAGATATAGATTTCCATTGGACAGCTCTGGCCTCTGCCTGTTTATTTCCACGCACCCAGCCAGGCAAGCAGACAGGATGACACCCAGTTTCATGCACAGAAAGCCAAGACAGTGACGAAACAATATGCTACACATTTGTCTTTTTTAATGCGTCTAATAGTAATGGATGTGTTGCTTTATAAAGCAACGTGACACGCCATCGCAGGCCTTCTTTGATGCTCCCTACAGAGCGTGAAGGATTAGCTTAGATCTGTTGAATCACTGTTTTCACTCTTCTCGCAACAGAGGAGGAACCAAAATACACCGAGCTCCTCTATGATTCACTTCTAGCTGTCTCTTGTTTGTCTTTCTCCCTCTTGCACCTGTGTGTGTGTGTGTGTGTGTGTGTGTGTGTGTGTGTGTGTGTGTGTGTGTGTGTGTGTGTGTGTGTGTGTGTGTTTAATGAAGATTTTTGAGGAACAAATTGAACATCTGCACAGTGTTTTCTTAAGTGAAGCCCTGAATGTTCCTCCTGATACCCAAGGATCCACTCACTGTAAAAGAGTTCGTCATCATCATAGTCATCATCATCCATGGTGTCTTTCTAATGTGTTCATGATGTTACTTCCAGTTGCTGTTGCGTGTGGGGATAATTGTTCTCCACTCGGGAGTAAACTCATCTGCATATTCTCCTCCTCTTTGATCAGTCGGATCAGGGAGCAATTTGTGGATCAGTCTCCTGCTAACAATGCAGCCATGTGCCCATGGTGACAGCAGCTGTTTCTTCCTCCAGTAGACGACTGTAGATCAGACTCAAGGGACAGCAGTTCGGCTCGGCTCAGCTCTGGACCGAAACAGGATCAATAGATGGAAATTGAGAAGAACAGCAGGGTTACGGGGGGACAAGAGGAAGGGAGATGGCTGGAGCAACAACAATAAAAAAGGAAGAGATAAAGGACAGGGTTGATGACAGAGCAGAACAAGGTGAACATGAGGCATTCGGGAGAGATTTAAAGGTGCGAGGAGGAGATGAGTTAAAGAAGAGGGTGTCTGAGAGAGAGCCACTGCAGTGCAGCCGGTGCTGACAGCGTCTGCAGGGGGCCAGCTGTGCGCCAGCAGCCTCACTAACTGGGTCATTTTTGTCTCCACGCCGCCTCATAGGACTGTCTGCCACGAGGAGCACCTGAATCTCCTGTTGGTCACCACTTCTCTTGTTTCCTTTCCACATTCACCGTCTTCCCCTTCCTTTAAAGCTGCAAAACCAAAACACCACCCCCCACCCCCCACCCCACCCCACCCCGACCTGTTTAGTGTTATTGAGGTCAGAGGTCGCATACAGAGCAGCAGCTGTGGAGCTGGTCAGAATTCAGCCTCTTGCTCAGCAGCACTTCATCAGTGCGGGTGTTGGCTGTCATGGGGCCTACATTGTCGCCAAGAGCCACATCCATTACTCTCCCAGGAAAGGCTGAAAGAATTTGTCGATTAATTGATTTGTCTATAGTGAGAAAATTAATCAGCAACTATTTGAACCATCAATTAGTCGCTTCTCAAGCAAGAATAGCAACTAGGCGATTCTCTGGTTCCAGATTCTCATTTGTGAGAATTTGCTTATTTTCATTGTATTATATCTTTATAAATTGAGTATTTTGGGGTTAGGGTTAGTTTTGGATTACTGGTTGGATAAAACAAGCACTTTGAAAACATCTCCTTGGCCTCTAGGGAGTTATGATCATACAGTTTTCTGAATCTTCTATAGACAAAACAATTAATCGGTTAATTGAGTTTATAGTCAGCAGATAAATCACCATTGGCAATACAATTAGTTGTAGAACTGAGACGATTGTCAATCAATCAGTCAATCAACAGAAAATTAATTTTCTATTTTGTGAAACGTCATTTTTCATGCAAGAGTATCAGCCAGTCTCTGGTTCCATCTTCATAGTTGTAAGGATTTTCTGCTTTTCTTTATTTTATATCAATGTAAAATTATTATTTTTTTATTTTGGACTGTTGGCTGAACAATACAACATACTGGGCTTTAGAAAATTGTGATGCGCACTTTTTTTCTATTTTCTGTGAATTTATAGGCCAACCAATTAAATTGATTAATGGAGAAACGAAGAAATGAAGAATAATTGTTATATGCAGCCCTACTCATCCAAAGATATTCAGTTTTTAACCAGGTAGAGGAGAGAAAAACAATAAATCCTCTCATCTGAGAAGCTGGAACCAGAGACCGTTTTAGATTTTTGCTTGATAGATGACTTAAACAATAAAACAATTAGCAAAATGGTCATTTATTAATTCTGTCAGATGATTAATTGGTTAATAGACAAATTATTTGAGCTCCACTCTTGGATGTTTTGTGTCTCTTCAGGCAGACCGCATGTACCTGATGAGTGAAATGATGATGATCTGTGGCTCCCTGTCGCCTGGCATTAGATCCACTGTGGGTTTCCTAGAGAGCTTCCCACAGTGCCACAGGCAGTGGAGATTACAGCATGTGAAAAGACAGCTCCCACTGACAATTACTGCCTCACAGCCTAATGACACGGAGCATCCATGTTGTAATTGTCATCCGTTTTGGTCTCACTTGAAGCTGCCAAAGCAGAGATTAAACTGGCAAAGATTATCACACTCACTCACACTCTGGATTTTTTACAGATGACTTTAAGTGTTATCTCTGTGTGTGTGTGTGTGTGTGTGTGTGTGTGTGTGTGTGTGTGTGTGTGTGCGTGCGCGTACGTGTTACTGGGAGACGTTTTCATTTGTGTGCAGCTTGTGACGTCAATACTGATTCACGTGTAAAAATAGACCTCCGTTGCAGAAGTCATTACACATGAATGCACAGTGACACACACACACAGCGTTGTTCTCCCTTTGTCATTGCAGTAGTCAATAAACAGTGTAACCACACACAAGTCGCTCACAGTACCAGATATTCCTCTCGGTTTGATGTTAAAAGACGTCAGGAGCCAGAATGGACGATGGAGCGGGGCAGGCGGAGAAATCTTGACCCAGGGGGCGGTAGGGTGAGGGAGATGGAGCAGGGCAGGCAGGAAAACTAGGGAATAACTAGACCGGCGAACAGACAAGGAGCTGGGCGAGGCGGACAGGCAGGGAGGGCTGGAGGCAGAGCTCAGGTTCCGGTTCAGACAAGGTTCAGGCAAATACAAGGAAACTAAAGTTAAAAGACTGAAACAACTTATTACGGCAGTGGTGAGAGGAACAATCTGGCAAAGAGTGAAGAGCCAGGGTCTCTATACTGCAGGTGTGGATTACTGGATAAGCTTCAGGTGCACGGGATGATTGAGAGCAAGAGGAGGACCGGCGGGATTGCCACACCCAGCAGACACACACACACGCACGCACACACACACACACACACACACACACACTAGAAAACATAGGGAATGGGGGGAAGGAACAGCCTCACCATGATACTCGGTCTACCAGGTCTGTGTTTATTAAGGCTGAACAAAAGGAAGAGACATTTATTCCAGTTGATCACTCTAAGCCAGGGCAAGTGGATATTTGTGACACACACACACACACACACACACACACACACACACACACACCCACACACTAGAAAACATAGGGAATGGGGGGAAGGAACAGCCTCACCATGATACTCGGTCTACCAGGTCTGTGTTTATTAAGGCTGAACAAAAGGAAGTGACATTTATTCCAGTTGATCACTCTAAGCCAGGGCAAGTGGATATTTGTGACACACACACACACACACACACACACACACACACACACACACACACTCACACACACACACACAAACGGAAATGTTAACTGAGTCTGACATGTCACAGGAAATGTAAACATTTACCTCTCTAGGCAATTTGAAGTAGTTTTCAGTTCAGGTTAGTCATCAGACCACTTGCTGCATCCCTTTCTCTTCCTCTTAACCTTTCACATTTTGTTTGTGCATCATTTTGTCCTTTTTCCCCCCTCTTCCATGTCTCTGTCCTCCACTCACTGTTCTGTGGCTCATATTTATACTCAGCTGTAAGCATGAGTGCTGCAGCTCACGTCTACATCTGTGTCTTCGTCTTTGCACCTCTCCCGTGCTTTGTTCAGAGAATGACACGGGCCGTCGGTGAATGAAACATATACCTCCCAGTACTGTCCTCCAATCCCTCGATTCATGTTATATTTAAGGTGTTTTGCATCCTTTTTCACATTTCTTCTTCTCTTTGTTTGCTGAAATATGCATGTTGTGGTCTCCACTGATACCAGACCAAGAAACTGCAGAGAGAAAAATGAGAACGAGGAGAATGTGGGGACAAAAATATAGACGGGAACATTATCTTTGACACGGAGAAAGATATTTGAGAGGCATCTATTGACAGTCAGAAGATGCTAATTAACAGTAGGGGACATGGAGAGGTGAAGGCCCAGCAGTGGTTACATCTTTTGTCTCTTCCTGTCAGAGCAATAAAGAGAAATTAGATGAGGCCAAAGAGACTCAAACACAGCAGGAACAGAGCGAGGAAATGAATTGAGAGAAGATAGAAATGTTTCAGCGGAGCCAAATCTCCTGTGCTGGCACACTTGGCACCGCCTTTGTTTCCCGTCTCTCACTGTTGCATGTAATTTTGGCAGGTGCAGTTTCAGCGAGGTGACAACATGACCTTGTGCTCGCAGAATGAATATCAAACATGACAGACCGCCGGTTTCATTATGAGTTACACCACAAGTACTTACTGTGCGTGGTGGAATAAATATAATGGTTACGTGAGGCTCGAGTGTTGGTGGTTAAAGTGAGAGTGACAGAGCATTATCAGATTGCAGTAAACGAGGCATTGTTTATACTTCTCATCTGGTATGTGTAGGATGTAAACGTCAGTGTAAAGGTCTGCGATTTTTACCGTGTGAATCTAGCAGTTTGTTTCAGAGCTGCACATCTTGCTAACAACAAGCCAGATTACCATCAAGTTTTGCATTTATATTCAAGACTCCCAGAAGATGATTCCTGGCGATTTTTTGTGCGCCCCTGACATTTGTGTCATACCACTGTCACTGCTCAAAATGTCCTGTTTATTATGGACGAATCCATAACGAGTTTTCCAACAAAAAAAATGGCTTCACATTTCCACGAAATTCCCTGTTGATATTCATGTTCCCGAGATGATGCATCCTTTCTATATGCTGTTGGTGACCCTCTTAAGAAGAATTTAAGTCAAGGCAATAAAATACTTAGTTTTAAGTTTGGTTCAGGCAGAAATCTGTGTGAGAAGCTAACTGTGAAATAACTGCCTTGCTATGACAAGTTTTTTCTGTTATGTCTGGAGTAGATGATCTCCCTGATCCAGCTGATCTTTATGTGTGTCTGTGCATGGGCGCTTGTCATTGGCCTGTCTAAAAGTAGAAATTTGTAATCAGCAAGCACAAATAGCATCACGAGATAGAAGGTGTAGAGATTCAGTGTTTCATATCTTACATGCTGTGTGAAAAGTCACACCCCCCCCCCTACAGAAATTTTACCAGAGGGAAAAGAACAAGTCGAGCACCAACAGCTACACAACCTTTCATACGATGTTCATATCAGAATGAAGCATCATGGCAAACATCCAACATACACTAGTTATTTCTCACTTTAACCTTATGAATAGGAAACAGTTATGTGAGCATCTTTTAAAGGACTAATTACATGAAGTTGTCTAATTTTGGCTAATTTTTCTGAGCTCAGCTGCCATCTTGATGACAGCAATATCAGTCTATCTCAGCTGTTTCTATGGGGACAGCAGATGATCTTTTCACTGTTTTTCTTGTATTTTTCTCTCAGGTATCTCTTTGACAAGCGTGTGACGGCTCAGATCAACACACAAGGGAAACCAACGTACACACATCTCAAAGAACTGACGTGACGGACGAAGTCTGGGTTTGCGTCTGCTCGACATCGTTCTGCCCTACAGCCTCTTTCCTCTGAAATCCAGCCTCACCCCCCCCACGTGAACCCACCATGTCCGGGAAGGAGCGCAGCCCCCGCCATCGGCCATGGTCAGTCTACCGGGCCAACACGTTTGATCTCTCAGCTGAGATGATGGGGCTGGCTCTCTCAGGTAACTAAGTAACTGCTACCATGGTAACCAGTTTACTTCACTCATGATGAAATACCAGGGCATTTAAAAAAAGAGCCTCCCCGCCTCTTTCTCTCTATCCTGCAGGCAACAGTCAGGATCCAGACGAGCCTGTGCTGGAGTTTAGTGTGGGTAAGTTGAGGAGGAAGCCGTAGATACGCTGCTGCACATGACAAGTAGATCAAACTGTGTCTGGCCTTCCTTTGAAGGTGGCATGATTGGTAATGGTCAAAATATTTAACTTACTTGTACACTTCACAAATCACATGAAAAGAACAAAACCAACAATAGATTGATTCCAGTAATTACAGTGTCTGAGTGTCCAAAGCCTCCGCTCCATCGTCGGGCTGTTGTTGTCGAAAAACAAATTCTAAACACAGCAATGAGCCACACCGTGCCACCAAATGTGTATTATTCCACAGCTAAAAATAGTTCCCACTAAATGCACTGAGTACTGTTAGAGTAATGTTTGGTAAAAAACTAAAGTGCCCAGGTGTTAAAGGAACTTTCTAAGCCTTTTTTTTTTACAGTGAGTGAAATTGTATCAACCAACTGGATTGGATCCACTGATCAATACATTAGCAATGGCACTAATATTAACCAATGACTATGTGTAATATAGTGTTGCTTGTGACAAACTTATCATCCAACAAATTTGATGCTGCTCTATTGGATGAAGGGTGATGTGTCTCGTCAGTGATTGGCTCAGTGGCAAAGTACGTGTCGTTCATTTGTGTTTAGTTTTTATTCAATGAAAGCATTTCTGTAAACAACTGATGCTCATCAAGTACTAACAACTCAGAAATACTGTATTACATTCCCCCCATGGCCGAGGATTAGTGACCATCCCACTTGTAAATCCCACAGTTTGTAATCTCTTCCTGTGTTTATGTGTTGCAGCCTGCAGTGAACTGGTTACTCCATCTCTGGATCGTAAGCCAACCAGCTTTGTGGCCGTCAGCTGCACCACCCCTCCCCAGGCCTTCTGGACCAAGCATGCTCAGACTGAAATCATCGAGGTGCACTATTGTTTGCTTGCTTGCCCTTCCTTCCTGCCTGCTGTTGGAGACTTCAAAACTGTTTCATCCCTCTCTCTCTCTCTCTCTCTCTCTCTCTCTCTCTGTCTTTTTTTCTACAGGGTACCAGTAACCCTATCTTCCTGAGCAGTATAGCGTTCTTTCAGGACTCTCTGATCACTCAGCAGACTCAGGTCAAGCTTTCTGTCTATGATGTGAAGGACCGCTCGCAGGGCACGGTACGCCCAAGCCCAGGACTAATTCCTTACAAAACCACTTGACTCCTCTGCCTTTAAATTCCCTGTTAGGAAATGATTATTATTTCAATCCTTTGTGTGTATGTGTTTTTATGTGATAGATGTACATGCTTGGTTCGTCCATGTTTTCCGTGAAGGAGCTGCTGCAGGACAAACACCACAGACTTCACCTGGCTCTCAGGTAACAGGCAGAATATACGGTGACACACGGAGCCAGTTTCCTCTGTAAATGACAAATTGATATTGATTGCATGCTGGATGTAGGTTTAATTCACTTGATGTCTCCGTGTGCCAGGTCAGCGGAGAATGAGCGTGTGGGCAACATCACCGTCATTGCCTGGCAGATAGAGGAGAAGCGCGAGCAGAGAGCTCCTGTTGCAAGATTACAGAGAGGAGACACTGTTAATGGAAGGGTGAGTGGCATAGGCACAGCCCAGAATCTCACATGAAGTTTATAATATAATTTCAACTTTCTGTCATTTCCTCTCAGTCTCCCTGACTGGACCAGCAAATCAGTGGAGCTCATTTACTAAATAACCAGTTATAGGTCGCCCGACAACTTGCGGAGCATTCGGGGTTGACACAAAACACTTCATGGTTTGTGTGTGTGTGTGTGTGTGTGTGTGTGTGTGTGTGTGTGTGTATGTGTGTGTGTTTCAGATGGTTCTCCCTGTTGATGAAAGCCTGACTGAATCCATGGGTATTAAATCCAAGTCTTCATCTCTGTGTAAAGATCCACTGCTGAAGGCGGGTGAGTGTCCACATGAGCCAAATCTTATCCTCCTGTTGTGACTGTGTCAGTGTTTAGTCACAGGTGACATCTGGATTGCCAGCTGTGTCACAGCGATTCACACCTGCGAAAACACGTTCTATCTGCTTCAGTGTTTGGAGGTGTCATGTCGCGGACGTACCGTTTCCCCACCACGGACGGCAACCACCTGCGTATCCTGGAGCAGATGGCAGAGAGCGCGCTCTCCCTACACATTCCTCGACAGTTCGTCAAACTGCTCCTGGAGGAAGATGCTGTCAGGTAACGTCTGAATATCGTTAAACTATATATACTACTGCTATACTTTTGTTGTGCAAGAATATTGTGTTATAATTATATATATTATGTAATTATATTTTTTTCTTGTACCCCCCACCCCCCTTGAATTTGACTTAACAAAACTGCTTGACTTGAACTCATGTCATACCCTCAACCATAGCCTGCCCTTCACAGCCTAGTCCTGTCACAGGCTGCAAATAAGATGCAAGCGGCTTAATCAAAGTGATGCTCGCGCCTCAGATTGTTTCGTGTGAACAGTAGTTAGCAGCCTGAAGAGGCAGGTGGCGGCTGTGGTTCACAAGGTAGAGCAGGTTGTTCAGTAATCACACAGTTGGTGGTTTGATCCCCAGCTTCTCTTCCCACATGTCAAAGTGTCCTCGGGCAAAACACTGAACTCAAAACTGCTAGCTGCTTGCGTGGTAGCAAGCTAAGCAACACACTACTGTACATACTGTACATTTGTTTTTAAGCCCTAATGTAATCAGAAAAGTATGACATGACTTTTAGGACCATTTTATATGAGTGCATGTATGTATCAAAAGGAAGGTGTGTTATTCTATAACATGAACAGTATCCCTTGTGTACTCTATTATAATATCTTCATCATATGGTCAAAGCAACATAATAATTACAACTCCCACCACGGTCATTTTCTTAATGGCTGCTTGTAATTGTAATGTAATATGAGGAGCTGGAAATGCTCAACTGTTGTGTTTATTGCAGAAACCTTAATTGAACAAGTTGCACAAACGAGATGTGAGATCATCAGTGCATCAGCGGGATGTCTTGATCATTAACGGCCTTTGTGCTGCACAGGGTGTGCGAGCTGGAGGAACTGGGTGAGCTGTCTCCATGTTGGGAAAACCTCAGGAGGCAGATCATCACTCAGTACCAGACCATCATCCTCACCTACCAGGAGACCATAAGTGACCTGCACGAATATAAAGGTTAGAACCACAAACT